CTGTTGTGCAATATTATAACTTAAAAATGGATCAAGTTTGTACATTCCAGTACTAACATTAAGAAGATATCCTCCCCCTTCTCCCTTCTCCTTAGTCAGTCTGGTGTTGACAAAGGCTTTAACAAAGCCGAAACGTTCACCTCATTTCATATTTCTCTGTGGATTTTCCGCATAAAATGATCAGTGTTTTGTGATCGTCAATTGCATATATATATATATATATATATATATATATATATATATATATATATATATATATATATATATATATAAAATATTTCTCTTGTGTACATTTGGAAACCTCTGTCTAGTGCACCTGTGGTAGCTGTCTCGGAGAGGGAGAAGTGTGAGTCAGTGCTGAGGAAGGTGAGTCAGCGCTGAGGAAGGTGAGTCAGCGCTAAGGAAGGTGAGTCAGCGCTGAGGAAGGTGAGTCAGCGCTGAGGAAGGTGAGTCAGCGCTGAGGAAAGTGAGTCAGCGCTGAGGAAGGTGAGTCAGCGCTAAGGAAGGTGAGTCAGCGCTGAGGAAGGTGAGTCAGCGCTGAGGAAGGTGAGTCAGCGCTGAGGAAAGTGAGTCAGCGCTGAGGAAGGTGAGTCAGCGCTAAGGAAGGTGAGTCAGCGCTGAGGAAGGTGAGTCAGCGCTGAGGAAGGTGAGTCAGCGCTGAGGAAAGTGAGTCAGCGCTGAGGAAGGTGAGTCAGCGCTAAGGAAGGTGAGTCAGCGCTGAGGAAGGTGAGTCAGCGCTGAGGAAGGTGAGTCAGCGCTGAGGAAGGTGAGTCAGCGCTGAGGAAGGTGAGTCAGCGCTGAGGAAGGTGAGTCAGCGCTGAGGAAGGTGAGTCAGCGCTGAGGAAGGTGAGTCAGCGCTGAGGAAAGTGAGTCAGCGCTGAGTAAAGTAGAGGCAGCGCAAATGCTGGGAGAATCAGTTTACAAGTGGGACAGAAGACTGACCACCTTCAGGGTGTTGAGTCTTGAACTGACCCCTAGCTCACCTCACCGTGGGGGTTGTGTGAAAGTTTTGTGCAATATACTTTTGATAAAGGTACAATATATAAGTAAATTGTGAGATTTGTTAAAATTGTTAAATTGAAGTTTTAGATGGCGGGTGACATTTGGTCAGGTCTACATCGGCAGATAATGAGAATTCCCAGAGATAGTTGTAACCGAGTCTAAGCCGAGCAGTAGTAACATCTAGAAGTCTGCTGATTTTATTGGATGATCCATAGATGGCGGGTGGTTCAAGTTACCGTGCGCCAATTGCCACCGGTGCACTAGCTATAGATATCAATAGATTTGTTGATATACAGATGGCTATAGATGTCGATCAACCGAGTGATGGCTGAAGACATGTAAACTCGCTGAAGGGAGTATAGATATCGATGAAATACGTAAGTGTGCTGGGCGTTGGAGGGTGTGTATAGTGTATGCCCCCACCTTGGGGTCCAGAGGTCACCGACCCCGGGGGAATACACTCAAGTTTGTTGTATACTGTTGTGGTGACTGTCACTAACTCTGGTATGCATGAGGTGACTGGTATGCATGCACCTCAGTACTTGTCACGCAGGTGCACTGGCATGGCGGGTACACCTCCACTAGTGCGGGGTCTTGACACCCAAGATGTACTCACCTACTTGTTGGTGTTGAGCTCTGGCTCTTTGGTCCCGCCTCTCAACTGTCGATCAACTGGTGTACAGGTTCCTGAGCCTACTGGGCTCTATCATATTTACATTTGAAACTGTGCATGGAGTCAGCCTCCACCACATCACTGCCTAATGCATTCCATTTGTCTACTACTCTGACACTGAAAATATTCTTTCTAATGTCTCTGTGGCTTATTTGGGTACTCAGTTACCACCTTTGTTCCCTTGTTCGTGTTCCTCCCGTGCTGAATAGTTTGTCTTTGTCCACCTTGTTAATTCCCCTGAGAATTTTGTAGGTGGTTATCATGTATCCTCTTACTTTTATGTCTTCCAGGGCCGTGAGGTTTAGCTCCCGTAGCCTTTCCTCATACAAATGTGAGTGTGTGTGTGTGTGTAATTACCTAAGTGTAATTACCTAAATGTAGTTGCAGGATGAGAGCTACGCTCGTGGTGTCCCGTCTTCCCAGCACTCTTTGTCATATAACGCTTTGAAACTACTGACGGTCTTGGCCTCCACCACCTTCTCACCTAACTTGTTCCAACCGTCTACCCTTTGTGTGTGTGTGTATGTGTGTGTGTGTGTGTGTGTGTGTGTGTGTGTTTTACATGGTTATGTGTGTGTGTGTTTGTGCTAAGGAATTTAGCAAGGTGTGCGTGAGACTGATCAATCCTTAACCAAGGAATGTCAGGTTCGATGTAGCGACGATATATGGAATGCCGCCTCCTCTGACCCTCCAGCTTGTGATAGATGGTTAGTGTAGACTTTCGAGTGACAGGAAAGTTATCACACGGCTGGAGAAAGTTTATAAGTTTAGTCGTAACGATGAGTAATGGTGAGAGTAATGACCAGGCTAATTGTCACGGAATTTGTGGCAGTTAATTGTTACAGTTATTAGCAAGAATTGTCGTAGTAGTTAATGGGGATTTGATTGCATTAATGATGGTGAGTAATAGTGAGGATTGAAAGCTGAGCATAGATTACGGGTTATTCATGCCCGTGCTACCTCTTGGGTGGCTTAATCTTTATAAATCTGTTCATAGAGGAGTAGTGAGAGCACCGGAGACATCTCCCGTCACGCAGGGTGTATTCGCACCTCCACAGATCTCCAGTATCAGCTCTTGATACTGGTAATGGCTCAAAAGGGCCACCACTTACGGGCTATTCATGCCCGTGCCACCTCCTGGCTGGCTTAATCTTAATCAATCATTCGTCAGGCAGAAACCATCTGGTGCTCCTAGCTGGCCTGTGTCTGCCCTTACCTTGACGTTCCGACCAACGGGTGATCGGTTGGCATACCGATCACCTTTTGTCAGTAACGTAACTTCACTTGTTTATATTTTTCTTTTGATTGTGTTTTAGCTAAGTGATTAAGGTTTTTTGTCTTTAATTATTCATATTATTTTATTTGTAAGTGTAAAGGGAATTGTTATTAATTTTTGTTATCATTAAATATTATAAGGTGTTTATTCACTTGTTCTTAACCCGCAGCTTAACACCAGACCGTAAAGGTACCAGCAGATTTATTTTATTCTGTTTTCTCCCTTTTTTTTTTTATTTAATGTGCGTTTGGCACAACACCTGCCAGGCCAGAACAGTTACTGCGCTAGTCCAGATCACGTCACATTAAGTACAATAACTGTTAAGTTTTAAAGTACAACTAGAAAAGATCTCGGTCTCGGTGGTGTAGTGGTAAGACACTCTCCTGTCGTTCCGCGAGCACTTTGTCATGGGTTCGTATCCTGGCCGGGGAGGATTTACTGGACGCAAATCCTTAACTATAGCCTCTGTTTAACGCAACAGTAAAATGTGTACTTGGTTGTAACAACGATTCTTCGCGGCGGGGATCGTATTCCAGGGACCTGCCCGAAACGCTACGCGTACTAGTGGCTGTACAAGAATGTAACAACTCTTGTATATATCTCAAAAAAATAAATAAATAAATAAAGGCAAATGGGAGGAACTTCAACAAGCCGCATGCATCCTGTCCTCGTCGAGGCCATTAGCTCTCAAGGTAAACTCAGGTAAAATTGCATTCAAGGTACAGGATATACGAGGATATAGTATTGGGTACAACCTTTTCCTGCATGCAGGAAAGGGTTGTACCCTTACTACCACACGCCACTATGGATGGCATCATAAATGAACCAAACTAAACAAACTGCCTTGTCTGGGACTTCGTGACGTGTAATTGGTTGGGTGCACGTGAGGGCAGAATATAGTTCTCCCGAGAGTAATATTGTGGGCATGGATTTACAATTGGTGTGTGGGCGGGAGTGTGTCGTGGGCTTGTCACACAAAATGACATTAGCTCAATACTTTGCTTTATTTACGGAATCGACGAATCTGTTCAAAATGCGACGCGTTAGTAAAAATTACAGCGCTGTAATATATTGACGTTCTCTGTTCATCGGTTCGTATGTTTCTGGTTAGTGAACTGGAAATGCTTTCATACGTGTCTGGTTGTATGTCGTTTCTTATATCCCCGTAGTCAGAAGATTTTTAAACCTTTGCATGAGCTTTTAATGTAATTAGTGAATTTTAGTTGATATACCTGGCCCCTCTTTCTCTTGTTCCTGGAGCTTCTCAACACTTCCATGCGCGTTACAGCCTCGTAAACTCCAAAACTACAAACAAAAGCATACTATCCACAGTTGACGACGCACAGGTGGCGGGGCTCATAAATGTCTCAATAATTTCGAATGCTATTCTAGTTCCTCTTCCGATCTCGTCGGCCCACAAGTCGGCCAACGTCCCTGCCCATAAGTCGGCCAACGTGGAACCGGTGGCTGAGCGGACAGAACACTAAACGTGTGATCCTGTGGTCCCGGATTCGATCCCGGACGCCGGCGAGAAATAATGGGCAGAGTTTCTTTCACCTTGATGGCCCCTGTTACCTAGCAGTAAATAGGTCACTGGGAGTTAGTCAGCTGTCACGGGCTGCTTCCTGGGGGAAGGACCTGGTCGAGGACCGGGCCGCAGGGACACTAAGCCCCGAAATCATCTCAAGATAACGTCCCTGCCCCCGAGTCAACCCACCTCCTTATCCCAAGTCGGCCCACACCCCTGCCCCACGAATCGGCCCATCCTCCTTGCCCCAAGTCATCCCACGCCCGTCCCCGAGTCGGCCCACGTCCCTGAACCCAGGTCGGCTCACTCGTGGCCACGAGTGTTAATCCTAATGTAATAAGCTCGAGACAATCTACAAAGCTATAGTGTAACCCAGAAAGGGGAATTTCATTACACTTAATGCTTTATTTCTGTTTACTCTAACAAAGCCTCCTTATTTCTGAAAACAGTATCATCACTTGTGTATTCATTCTAGCTTTGTACTGTATTATCTTCAGCCTAGTGTACTCTCTCTCCTCCAGGTGCCGGCCGGGCCACCAAGGGAAAACAACGAAGAAGAATCCAATGTAGATAACAAATTTGGATGGATGCAGGGCGTGCTGGTACGCTGCCTCCTCAACATCTGGGGCGTTATCCTCTTCCTCAGACTCCCGTGGGTGGTGGGCCAGGCCGGAGTGTGTAAGTAGCCTCCCATACCTGTAGTGTGGATGGTGGGCCAAGTCAGAGAGCGAGAGTAATAATAGGTATTGGGGTTTCGTATGAATTTATCTGAGGGCCACTATCTGACTAGGGGTCATTCCTGGGACAGGAAGCTGGCTACTAGTTAAACTCTAGTAGCCATTCGTTGGACCATAACTTCAGTCTTTGTAAGGCCTTAATATCATTATCATTTCTCACTTTACCACAAATCTTCATGTCATCTGTAAATTTGATGATGTGGTTTGTACTATTCTCATCTATTTCATTGATGTATATGACAAAAAGGGTTGGACCCAAAATGGACCCTTGTGGTACCCCACTTACCCCACTTACCACATTTCTCTAGTCAGATTCATTTCCATTTAGCATAATTCTTTGTTTTCTTTGTTTTAACCATTGTTTTATCTATTCTAGTATTTTACCATTTATTCCATGTGCCTGTAAATTCCTTGCCATATATTGAAGTGTGCATCTTTATATTTACAGTTGAAGGCATGCTGATCGTCACGAGTGGTAATATAGTCACCGCCATTACTGCTCTCTCCATGTCAGCTATTTCTACCAATGGCCAGATCAAAGGAGGTTTGTTCCTGCACCATTTCCTTGATTCATGAATGTGATGAGTGTGTGTCTTGTGCTTGCCTAAATGTGCATGTAAGTTAGTGCTAGCTGTTGAATTGTGCTTGCCATCTGTTGGTTGTCTGTTGTAGTGACTCCTGACTCTCAACATTTATATATATTTTTTTATTTATATATACAAGAAGATGCATTGAGTTTATGAGAGCACATAGCATTGATGTTTTTTATGTTCTTGCAAAGCCAATAACACGCGTAGCATTTTGGGCAGCTCCTTAATCTAAAAGATAATTTTATGTAGGTACAGTAATTTGAAGAATTACAGGTACATTGTAAGAAAATTTGTAGAATAAATATAGGTACATTGTAGTAAAATTTGAAGAGTATCAACAGGTACATTGTAGCAAAATTTACATTCAACATAACAACTATGATTTTATGATTATTTTTTATGATTATTATTATTTTTCTTATTATTTTTTATTTTACATTTATATTGTCAGTCTCTACTGATTTTTTGTGTTTTATTTTATGTAACTTCTGTGTCCTCCCTGGCTATCTATTGGATCTTTATTTTACTTCTAAATTGTTACTATTTTATTGTATCTGCTTTTATTCTTGTGTTTTGCTTTATCGTGTATCTTGTATCGTTATCCCTCTGCATCTCTATGCACACTGATATTGATCCTGATCAAAATCTTCTGTCTCATATCTATACCAACCAGCACATTGATCATCATTATTGCAAGTATTTCACAGCACACCAGGCTAAAAACAAACTCCAAAATAGCACCTGTCTATCAGTTTATAACCAAAATGTTAGATCACTTGGTAAACATTTTGACGATTTAAATGCACTACTCACAGCACTAGGTACTAACCTATCGTTCATTATTTTAACAGAAACTTGGCTAAATAAAGACTATACCCAACTCTACAACTTAGCTGGTTATAAAGCCATTCATAACTGTAGGCCTAATAAAAAAGGTGGTGGCACAGCTATATATTACCGAGATACATTTATCTGCAACAGTGTTATTAGTGACAGAGATGACTACTGTGAATATACTTTTGCTCAGTTTACAATTAAATCCCTTAAATCCTCTTTGACTATTGGAGCCATCTATAGATTTCCTAATACTAACATAGCTTCTTTCTCAGACAACCTAAGGAATCTTATTATAAACAACAATCTCAACAAAAACCACATCATTCTGGGAGGAGACTTTAATATTGACCTGGGTCAACAAAACTGCTCTCAAGTTGACTATTTCCTTAACAGCATGAACTCCTGTATGCTAATCCCCACTATCACCAAACCTACCCGAGTCACTCAAACATCAGCCACTACCTTGGACCACATATGGACAAACATAACAGCTCCCCTTGTATCTGGTATAATCTACGACAGAACAACTGACCACTATCCTACCTTTCTCATAGCGAACATGGACATAACACCACCAAAAAGCAAGAAATTTTCATTTAGGCTACACAGTGAATCAGCTTTAGACAATCTTACAGAGGCACTTCACAATATTAACTGGGATTCTGAATTCATTAATACCCATGATATAAATTCATTAGCTAACCTCTTCCTCTCCAAAACTCTAAGCCTCTACAACCTTCATTGTCCCCTTCTTACAAAGCAAGTAACTGACAAAAGATTAAACAATCCATGGCTCACAAATGGCATTCTCAACTCAATCAACAAGAAACATGAATATGAAAAGAAAGTTAGGATTGGCCTAGTTTCAAGGGAAGTAGCTAAAAGGTACTCATCAATGCTTACCAGTATCATAAGAAAGGCAAAACTTGCATATTATGTGAATAGATTCAATGAAGCAAAAGGTAACATGAAAAACACTTGGAAAACTATCTCTAGTATCCTAGGAACTAAACAACACTCACATAACCAAATAAAACTCTACAAGGATGGGGATATACCTTCAACTGATTTAGAAATGGCAAATGAATTTAATAGTTTCTTTTCATCGGTTGGTGCTAATCTTGCCAGTAAAATCCCACAGACTCAGACACATATTAACACATATCTCTCAGGCAGCTATCCAAACTCTCTTCTCCTTTCACCAATCAGCCCGGCAGATGTTGTGTCCATCATACACTCTCTAAAAACCAAGGCAGGGAACACCAGTGAAATTCCGTCCATTGTGTACAAGAGAGCCTCCCATGCCCTTGCCCCACCCATAGCACTACTGTTCAACAAATCTATAGAGTGTCACACCTTCCCTGATATCCTCAAAAAAGCAAGAGTAACGCCAGTCCATAAAGGAGGCAATCCGGCGGGCATAAACAATTATAGACCAATATCAAATCTACCCATTCTATCAAAAATATTTGAAAAAATTATTTACAAACAGCTCTATTCCTACCTCGTAAAATTCGACATACTCAGCCCCTGCCAGTTTGGCTTCCGGTCCCAAAAGAGTACCAATGATGCAATCATTAGTCTCCTTGACATTATCTACTCAGCCCTTGACAAAAATGAGTTTCCGATTGGACTCTTCATTGACCTAAGAAAAGCCTTTGATACTGTTAATCACAACTACCTCTTATTTAAACTCCAGCATTATGGAATCCGAGGCCTTGCCCTTGACTACATCCGATCCTATCTTAGTGACAGACACCAATATGTAACCATCAATGATACAACTTCTTCCACTCTACCAATTACCGTTGGAGTGCCACAGGGCAGCATCTTAGGACCTCTTCTATTTCTTATATATATAAACGATCTGCCTAATGTCTCTAATATTCTCAAACCTATATTGTTTGCTGACGATACTACCCTTATCTACTCAAACCTCAACCCACATACACTAAATAATGTTGTGAATAATGAATTAAAAAAAGTCCACTTATGGATGTCAACGAACAAACTAACATTAAACATCGAAAAGACTTACTACATCTTATTTGGAAACAAATCATCAAATGCAATTCAGCTACAGATAGACAACATTAACATCAGTAATAAAAATGATGGCAAGTTTCTTGGCCTATTCCTAGACAAGAGACTCAACTTCAGCACCCACATTCAACACATAACTAAGAAAGTCTCTAAGACAGTTGGTATACTCTCCAAAATCAGATATTATGTTCCTAACTCTGCTCTCCTCTCACTATATTATGCACTAATCTACCCCTATCTTAATTATGGTATCTGTGCATGGGGGTCTACCACTGCAAACCACCTTAAGCCCATCATCACACAGCAAAAATCTGCTATCAGAATAATAACTAACTCTGCTTTCAGACAACACTCAGCTCCCTTGTTTAAATCTCTAAACTTGCTAAATATTAACTCCCTCCACACATTCTCTTGTGTCAACTACATTTACAAAACCCTGTTCTTAAATGCAAACCATGCTCTGAAACTCTCCCTGGACAGATGTAATAGGACCCATTATCACCACACCAGAAATAAATATATCTTTGATATCCCCAGGGTCAAACTTAATCTGTGTAAACACTCTATGCAAATTAAGGGACCTAGTCTATGGAACTCACTCCCTAGTGAATTGAAAAACTGTAAAACTTTTGCCTTATTTAAAAGCAAAACCAAAAAGTACCTAACTTCATCTATTTAGTTTCCTACACTGAGCTTTAATTTGCTCTGTACCTAGTGGTACCCAATCTCCTAATTTTTATGTAATATCAAACAACCTTATCATTGTGTTCATTGCTGTCTTCTTTTATGTGCTAGCCATATGCTGTATTGTGACTACCAATTTTTGTCAACTACCATTCAAGCTGTCATTGCAATCAATCTTATATTGTTTCTGCTGTATTGTGCCTACCAATTTGTTGTCAACTACCATTTTAAGCTGTCATTGCAATCAATCATAGCTACCTATGTGCTTTAATATACTGTACCTATAATTTTCTCTCATCTTTTTTTTTTTTTTTTTTTTCATTCCATGTAATCTGTTATCATTTTTTTGTCTATAAATTTTGCAAGTATTTACCTCCTTAAAATTTTCTTAGATTAAGGACCTGCCCGAAACGCTGCGCGTGCTAGTGGCTTTACAAGACTGTAATTACCATAATTGTATCCTCACATTCCTTATGTACATTCTTGTATATGCATAAATAAATAAATAAATAAATAAATATGATATAACGTGATAGCAGTGATTACAATGGTGAAATTGCACGTCTTAGGTACATATATTGAGGGAGTGTGTAGCACAAGATACAGTGTGAGTTTGAAGCACTAGGTAGGAAACTTTGAGAATGAAATTAGGTCCTTTTTGGTTTTACTTTTGAATAAGGCATAGGCTGGGCAGCTTTTTAATTTGTTAGGGAGTAAGTTCCATTGACTAGTCCCTTTATTTGCATGGAGTGTTTGCACAGATTTAGTTTGACTGGGGATATCAAAGATATATTTATTTCTGGTGTGGTGATTATAGGTTCTATTACATCTGTCATGGAAGAGTTTCAGATCAGAATTTGCATTTAGAAACAAGGTTTCGTACCTGTAAATGGCACAAGAGAATGTGTGGAGTGGGTGTATGTTTGGCATGTTTAGGGATTTAAACAGAAGCTGTGGGTTGTCAGAAAATTTTTTGTTATTGTTCTGATGGCAGATTTTTGCTGGGTGATGATTGGGCTTGAGGTAATTTGCAGTAACTGAACCCCAAGCACAGATACAGTATGTAAGACAGGGATAGATTAGTGGGTAGTATAATGAGGGGAGAACGGAGTGGGGAACATAGTATCTGATTTTAGTGAGTACTGTATACTGACAGTTTTTCAGATTTTTTGGGGCTGAGTTGTTTGTGGATGCTGAAATTGAATCCTCTTTAAAAACTATTTATTGAATCGAAGCATTATACATGTTAGGGACTTTGCAAGAATGTGAAAATACCAATCTTATGTAATCTCACAAACCCATTATACCTTCTTGTAAATAGATTATTAGTATTAACTTCAACTATTTCTTACTTCTTACTTAACTTTAACTTCAACTGTGGGCATTCTTTCTAAGATCAGATATTATGTACCACGCCCTGCCCTGGTGACTCTCTATTACTCCCTTATCTATCCATATCTCAACTATGGTATTTGTGCTTGGGGTTCTACTACCCAAAATCACTTACGTCCTCTAATTACCCAACACAAAGCTGCTATTAGGACAATATCCAACTCTGGCCCCAGACATCACTCGGTACCCCTACTCAAATCTCTGAATATGTTAGACATTAAGTCACTGCACATTCTCTCATGTGTATTATACATATATAAAACGCTAAACTATAATGCCAATCCTGATCTCAAAAGCTTCATAGAAGGTTGTAACAGAACCCATGAGCACCACACCAGAAATAAATACAGTTTTGATATTCCTAGAGTACGACTTAATCAAACTAGAAATGCTCTACAAATCAAGGGGCCCAGAATGTGGAATGACCTTCCCAACCATGTTAAAGACTGTACCTCTCTCAACCAGTTTAAGATAAAAACTAAACACTACCTAATAAATTCCCTGTAACCTACCTCACTCCTCTATTGTCAACCCATGTCTGTTATTTTTTTTTTTTTTTTTTAATCAACACTGTTTGTCAACCTATTGTATTTGTGCTGCTTTTTCAGTCATGTTCCCCCTTTTTTTTTATCTTTATTTGTATTTGTTCTCAACACTTTTTATTCTTTATGCTCAATTAGTATTAAGTTCTAGATATTAATGTTTTTCTTGCCCGAAACGAATTGCGTAATACTGTAGTGGCTTTAGGCATTGTATGTACTAGCTCTATCTATATACCAATCCATTAATGTAACATCACTTGTATGTATATACCTTACCTGAATAAACATATTTTATTTTGTTATTTTATATATTTGTCATCCTAATCTGTTCCACATTCACCACTCTTATATTATAATAATAATAATAATACATTTATTCACAAGAAGGTACAATGGGTTGGTGAGATTACATAAGATTGGTATTTTTACATTCTTGCAAAGCCACTAACACACAGCATTTCAGGCAGGTCCTTAATCTAACATATCAGGTAAGGTGAAAAGGTACATTGTATTAGAGAAGTTCTTCCTTAGATTCATGTGTGTTTTCTGTGCAAGTAAATGTCGGCCATACTCCCATATTCTCTTGAGCCCTCACACCATCTTCAGCCATGAGGAAATGACCCATGACCTCATCTTCAAAAGGACATTGCTGCTTTGAAGAAAGTACAACACCGGGTGACAAAAATCATTCCAGAATTAAGTCAACTCTCTTACCAGGAATGATTGAGGGCCTTGGGGCTGGCAAAAACAGGAGATGCTTTTTCACTTACAAGGTTATAAACCCATGGAACTGCCTACTCACTGAAGCCGTAAATGCCAAAACTTTTACATTTTAAAATTCAACTGGAAAAAATCATCAGGGTTAATGGGAGGATTGTTGACAAGCCGGCAGCTTCCTGTCCTCGTTGAGGCCACTAGTGTTAATGGCCCTCGGGTAAGTAACATGAGATACGCATCGAGTGAAATAAACGATACAATTACTACAGTAACATAAGTGCCACTGGCGTCACATCATCTTCTGGGTTATAGTCTTACACAATGGGATTTTTTCAATCTGATTAAATGTCTCGTCTATCTTTTCTGATGCCACCTAAGTGCCTTTCCATCAGTTGTCACTTAAAGTTCCACCTATCTCCCTCAGGTGGCACATACTACATGATCAGCCGTTCACTAGGACCAGAGTTTGGAGGGGCCATTGGGTTGATCTTCTCCCTGGCCAATGCCATTGCTGCCTCCATGTATATTGTTGGCTTTTGTGAATCATTGAGTGACCTGCTGAAGTCTCAGGGATTGAAGATCATTGACAATAGTGTGAACGATGTGAGAATAATTGGCAGTATCACACTAGTTGTTCTCTTTGCAATCTGTGTCATCGGCATGGAGTGGGAGGCTAGGGTAAGTTATTATGATGATCCTGTACTCTGTTGATATTCTCCTTTAACAGAATTAGTACAATTGAAGATAATCAAACCTAAAAAATGTAGATGAAATAATATTAATAATTATACAGTACAGTAATAATAATAATAATATAAAATTTCAGACTAAATTAGTGATTTTATAGTAGATCTTTTATATTTTATAAATCAACTAATCACACAAAGCATTTTGGGCTTACCTTAAGATTAATGTGTGTGCTTTTAATTATGGTAATACATTTTAGGGCTAAAACTTAAAAAGGTACTGTAGTTTGTAGGTACTTAGTTGTCAGTTTAAACATAAAAAAATTGCACTCTAAGTAACTACTGTATACAATATATAATTTTGTACATAAGTTAATGCAAAACCCTGATGAGATATTTATCTCCTATGCTCAAATTTGTGTACAGGCACAAGTAGTTCTGCTGGTGGTGCTTCTAGTGGCCATATTGGACTTTATCATTGGTGCCTTCGTGGGTCCTCTTAGTGATGAAGAGATTGCCATGGGTTTCATCGGTCTAAATGGTATGTGAGCCTGTCTATGCACTAGTCTTTTGTATTATTTGACAGAGGTTCCCACAAAGTAAAGGCTTTGATTAGCGAGAACATTCCATACCTATTGATCCATGGAGATGCTCTCTTGGTACTAGTATGGAACTGTAACCAAAAGAGATAGAGATCAGGAAATGGAGTTTAAGTAGGGTGAATAGAGGAGAGATACTGCAGAGGGACAAGGGAGAGGGAAGAGAGAGCAAAAGAATTTACCAATGCTCAAGTCCTTTTACTTTTCCTGCAGGGACAGTGTTCACCAACAACCTCTACTCTGACTACCGTGATGAGGGAGCCCAGAGTGGGGAGGAAGGCAACATGGGCTTCTTTGGTGTCTTCAGTGTTTTCTTCCCTGCCTGTACCGGCATCCTGGCTGGTGCCAACATCTCTGGTGACCTGAAGGTATGGATTGGGAACAGGGTTGTTGGTTTATGGAACAAATTACTTGGTCACAAAAAAAGACTTGGGATCGCTGCAATGACAAGCATAGGTTGAACATATATAGAATGAATTTTGATGAATATATAAATAGCTATCTTGAGTGGGCCAAGAGGCTTTCTGCAGTTCCTTTATGTTTTTATGCTATGATTAATTAAATTGAACTTTTCTATAGAAAGCTTGCATAATTATTGTCTCAAATATAATGTACATGCACTCAGCTCCTCTCTTAGTAACCTGCCTCTTATGGATTGTCAGGACCCATCAGCAGCTATCCCCAAGGGAACAATTCTTGCCATCATTATCACCTACATATCCTACATGGTTATTGTGCTGTTGGCTGGGGGTGTGGAAATAAGGGATGCAAATGGCAATGAAACTCTTGTAGCAGACTGGTCTTTCACCAACTGTACAGACACAGTCTGTAAATATGGTCTTATCAACAGCTCTCAGGTATGTTACTAGCATATTACCATCTGCTGAAGAGAATTTGTACTCTGTAGTAACATTAGTTGTTAATATCTCATACTAAAGTCATAATTTTATAACTAATTTTTTCTGAACTAAAGCCTACCAAATATTCCTTTAGCCAGCTCCCATACCAGGTAAGGTAAACCTATATGATATACCCAGGAAATGATTCACCTGCCAAGCTTTCAAGACTTTCATCCGCATCAGGCCAAGGATTTTTTGTGGCAAATCACAACTTAAGCCATCACTCCAAGCACTAATTCACTATGTGGTACCTATACTGTAATACAAACTTAGGACTCGTGTCTCGTCAGAAGGAACAAAGGTCTAATTGGGGTCCAAGGAAACTCATAGCTCCCTATCTGACGTCCCCCCCCCCCCCCAAGCCCTGGTAATCAAACCTGAAGGGTTTGGGGCAGAGTACGAGTCCGCACCCACTGCTCAGGATAGGAAAGCGGAGTCCAAAGGAGAGGCTTCTGATGAAGAGGGTTGGCTAGAAGGAAGAAAACCTTGAAACCTCCACAGGACTAGACAGCTCAACTGCCTTCCTGTGTTAAACCCTGCCCAACTTTGAAACCCTCAGATGTTTTGGAGTTGGAAGTAGGGAGGGAAGAAGAGAAGCTTGACGTTACTGGTGTATCATATCCGAAGGGGAAGGAAGAGGAGTTGCAGATGGTACCAAGGTGGAATGCACCAACATCTCCAATTTCGGGTCTCTAAAAACAAGATGGGCCAGCTTTAGAGCATCCAACAGGTACACACACAACCAAGATTGCTGAAGGCAGGCAAACTGATCCTACAAAGCAGAAGCTGCCTGACATGCTTGAATATCATCATGAGTGTGAGATAGAAGAACCACATGGGGAGAGCAAACCCCTCTGGACTCAGGGGTCATAGGTGTCACTGACCCAACAGGCAGCATGGCAGAGGAAGAAAGAATGATCCTGATGATCATTCTCTAGTACACACATACAAAATGGGATACGAGAATGTTGGATTCATATGTAAGGCAAGTACTATGCCTAAAGCCACTAATACACAGTTTCAGGCATGATGTGGGAAACAAAAAACAAAAACTTAAAACTAATTGAGATCAAAAGCAAAAATGAGCTGAAGTAGAGAAACAGAAAAATTACAATAATTAAATAATAATAATAATGTTTTTCATGTAAAAGTACATACATACAAAATGAGTTACAAACAGACTGTTGGATTTCTAGGTAGAGCTAGTATATACTATTCCTAAAGCCACTAGTATGCACAGCGTTTCAGGCAAGATGTGGGAAAACACTTAAAAACTAAGACAGACTAATTGGGATCAAAAGAATGAATTGGACTGAAAAGGGAAAAAAAAGAACAAAATTACAATAATTATATTTTGGATGGATCAGCAGAAATTGCAACAGATCAGCAGAAGTAATTTTAACTAAACAGACTACATTTTTTTTTATTCATATTTTTGTACAAGTTTATGCATGGCAAATATCAGCAGTTATACAAGTAGGTCAATAATAAGTATTGTTTGAAAATAGCAAGACATAGGTTGACATTTAGGCGGTAAGGTAGGTTATATGGCATTGATTAGGTAGTGTTGATAAGAGTATTTCTCTTAAACTGGTACTCCTAAAATGGTACAGCAAAAATTGCAACAGAAGAACAGATAGTAGTTTTCACAAAATAAATAGTTTTTATATTCAACAATATATTAAACTTATTATACACTTTACTGTACTAAAATTTCCTTTTATGGAAAATGCTATGTACTGTAGTGCTTTTCTCGTAAATGATTTGACTTGTTCTTATTTTGTATTGCATATTATGATCCCTCTCTCCCCACATACTCATTTTCTCTAAATTTCTATACCCTTCCCCCTCCAGGTAATGGAGTTAGTGGCCATCTTCGGCCCACTGATCTATGCTGGTTGCTTTGCTGCCACCATCTCCTCTGCTCTGGCCTCCATTGTCTCGGCACCTAAAGTCTTCCAGGTAATGTACTGCATCTATCACATTTTATCAATGCATGAATTTCTATCATTGTTTTACCTGAATTTACCTAAGGGCCACTACCTTCCCAGTGGTTTTGATTGGGACTGGAAGCCAGTGGCTTGTCAAAGGTACCTCCATTGTTCCTGTGGATTTTTCCAACTAGATTTTGAACTAAAATAATATCTTGGCATGCATAGCTTGAGCAGTTAGGCAAGTCCATGGAATTATGACTGGAGATGAAACAGCATCTCCTGTTTTCTGGCGTATATTGTGGCTTGTTGAGCTTGAAGGTGTTGCCACATTTATGCGCTACAGTTGACCTTTTTAAAGAACTGGTCTGGTTTAATATTCTCTAACTTATTCAGTGTTTTAAAGATCTTGATGAGATTAGCCCTGTCTTGTCTGGTATGCAGTGTTGTTAGTCCTTTTGGCCCCTCAATCATTTCTAACATGAGAGCTGACTTGGTTCTGGGATGATTTTCGTTGCTTTATATTGAACTTAGTCCTAAGCAGCTATGCCCTTTTGAAAGTGAGGTTCCAACCTTGGATGCAGTAGTCTTTTACTCTACTAGTTCCTCAACAGTGGCAAGTTTTTCCTTATTCACAGTGTAGGGACTGGAGGCATTCATTTGCAAGATTTTTGAATTGTTAAAATGACAAGATGTTTTGATTACCAGCCTGTTGCCAAAATGAGTTGCATAACATTCTGCAGTTTAGGCGATAAGAGTGTTTAACTGCTATATTTGTGCAAAGGGAACCGCTACCTGGTTGTCACATATTGCACTTCTTGTTTGATACTTTTTGCTTGGTGGAGGGATTTGTAGAGAAGCTAAATTGTAGCTGTGTAAGATACACAGACCAGCCATGTCTCTTCTATGTTGGGGGAGTCTAAATGTACAGAATTTGGACAAATACCTTAACTTTGTTTTCACTAAATGGATTTTAACTGTCCATCTAGTGAAAACTTTTTAAAGAATGTTAAACACAGTTAAAAATTGTCTTCTAACTTTGTTTAACAATTTTAGGTAAAATGGTAGACATAAATCTGAAATTAGTGGTAATATTTCATTACAGATCTGATAATTGGAGTTTGGTGTTATACATTCCCTTGCATCTAGGTGCTGTTCTACCCTCTGCATAAAAGGTAGTTACCTTGCTTAGGTGGCTGCAACATTTTTCACATGTCCTGTGAAAGAGATATTTTCATACATCTCTACTACTAAAAGGCTAATTGAGTTTTTAGTAATTTTTAGTATTTGAATATTTTATAAAGCCAGTAATTATATGCAAAGTTTTGGTCATAACTTTAAATAAGTGTATTGAGTTTTACATTTTTGAGGTAATACTAAATACTATATTAAATGTGAGCTGACATACAGTATATATATATATATACTGTATATAAATGCATAAAGTTGCATTTATGCACGTTGCACAACCGGCAGATGTTGTGTCCATCATACACTCTCTAAAAACCAAGGCAGGGAACACCAGTGAAATTCCGTCCATTGTGTACAAGAGAGCCTCCCATGCCCTTGCCCCACCCATAGCACTACTGTTCAACAAATCTATAGAGTGTCACACCTTCCCTGATATCCTCAAAAAAGCAAGAGTAACGCCAGTCCATAAAGGAGGCAATCCGGCGGACATAAACAATTATAGACCAATATCAAATCTACCCATTCTATCAAAAATATTTGAAAAAATTATTTACAAACAGCTCTATTCCTACCTCGTAAAATTCGACATACTCAGCCCCTGCCAGTTTGGCTTCCGGTCCCAAAAGAGCACCAACGATGCAATCATTAGTCTCCTTGACGTTATCTACTCAGCCCTTGACAAAAATGAGTTTCCGATTGGACTCTTCATTGACCTAAGAAAAGCCTTTGATACTGTTAATCACAACTACCTCTTACTTAAACTCCAGCATTATGGAATCCGAGGCCTTGCCCTTGACTACATCCGATCCTATCTTAGTGACAGACACCAATATGTAACCATCAATGATACAACTTCGTCCACTCTACCAATTACCGTTGGAGTGCCACAGGGCAGCATCTTAGGACCTCTTCTATTTCTTATATATATAAACGATCTGCCTAATGTCTCTAATATTCTCAAACCTATACTGTTTGCTGACGATACTACTCTTATCTATTCAAACCTCAACCCACATACACTAAATAATGTTGTGAATAATGAATTAAAAAAAGTCCACTTATGGATGTCAACGAACAAACTAACATTAAACATCGAAAAGACTTACTACATCTTATTTGGAAGCAAATCATCAAATGCAATTCAGCTACAGATAGACAACATTAACATCAGTAATAAAGATGATGGCAAGTTTCTTGGCCTATTCCTAGACAAGAGACTCAACTTCAGCACCCACATTCAACACATAACTAAGAAAGTCTCTAAGACAGTTGGTATACTCTCCAAAATCAGATATTATGTTCCTAACTCTGCTCTCCTCTCACTATATTATGCACTAATTTACCCCTATCTTAATTATGGTATCTGTGCATGGGGGTCTACCACTGCAAACCACCTTAAGCCCATCATCACACAGCAAAAATCTGCTATCAGAATGATAACTAACTCAGCTTTCAGACAACACTCAGCTCCCTTGTTTAAATTCCTAAACTTGCTAAATATTAACTCCCTCCACACATTCTCTTGTGTCAACTACATTTACAAAACCCTGTTCTTAAATGCAAACCATGCTCTGAAACTCTCCCTGGACAGATGTAATAGGACCCATTATCACCACACCAGAAATAAATATCTCTTTGATATCCCCAGGGTCAAACTTAATCTGTGTAAACACTCTATGCAAATTAAGGGACCTAGTTTATGGAACTCACTCCCTAGTGAATTGAAAAACTGTAAAACTTTTGCCTTATTTAAAAGCAAAACCAAAAAGTACCTAACTTCATCTTCTTAGTTTCCTACACTGAGCTTTAAATTTGCTCTGTACCTAGTGTTACCCAATCTCCTAATTTTTATGTAATTTCAAACAACCTTATGATTGTGTTCATTGCTGTCTTCTTTTATGTGCTAGCCATATGCTGTATTGTGACTACCAATTTTTGTCAACTACCATTCAAGCTGTCATTGCAATCAATCTTATATTGTTTCTGCTGTATTGTGCCTACCAATTTTTTTGTCAACTACCATTCAAGCTGTCATTGCAATCAATCTTATATTGTTTCTGCTGTATTATGCCTACCAATTTTTTTGTCAACTACCATTCAAGCTGTCATTGCAATCAATCTTAGCTACCTATGTGCTTTAATATACTGTACCTACAATTTTCTCTCATCTTTTTTTTCATTTCATGTAATCTGTTATCATTTTTTGTCTATAATTTTGCAAGTATTTACCTCCTTAAAATTTTCTTAGATTAAGGACCTGCCCGAAACGCTGCGCGTGCTAGTGGCTTTACAAGACTGTAATTACCATATTTGTATCCTCACATTTTTTATGTACATTCTTGTATATGCATAAATAAAATAAATAAATGCATAAATAAATAAATTCAGCAAATAATATGCAGTTTATTATTTATTAATTAATTTGTAAATTATTTCTGTATAGACAAAATTTGTTTTCTTGCAGGCACTATGTAAAGATAAGCTATACCCAGGTATTGTGATCTTCGCTAAAGGTTATGGAAAGGGCGATGAACCCTACCGTGGCTACGTTCTCACATTCGTCATTGTGCTTGTTTTTACACTAATTGGTAAGTTGCAAGTGTACGATCTGTGGCAATGTACTGTGGGAAGCCTGCGATATTAAGCCTGTCTACATTTGCATAATTGATAGTAGACAGTTACAATTGTTTCTGGGCTTTTGGAAGGAAACAATTTACATAGTATGGGATAATAATTTTATTAATTATTATTTAATAATACCTGTACTACCTTATCAACTCCCAGTAACCTACCTTACCTCTTAATTCTCAACCCATGTCTTGCTATTCTCAAACTTTAATGATTAATGACTAATTTGTATAACTGCTGATATCTGCCATTTATAAACTTAACAAATATTGTATTCCGTCTGTTTATTTAGTTAAAATTACTTTTGCTGATCTGTTGCAGTTTCATTCAACTTGTAATTATTGTCATTCTTTTTATTTTTGTATTTATTTTTGTATTTCAGCTCAATTTATGCTTTTAATCTCAATTTTAAATCTTATTTTTTAAGTTTTCCCTACTTTTTGTCTGAAGTGCTGTGTGTATTAGTTGTTTCAGGCATAGTATATACTGACTCTATCTAGAAAACCAACATTCTGTCTGTAACTCATTTTGTATATATGTACTTTTACCTGAATAGAAATTATTATTATTATTATTAAGTTTCCTCATGCTCGATGCACCTCTTTAGAGTGGGCTAGGTTTTGGCCTCTGGTTCCTAGTAGGCTTACTAAAGCCTACTTTTGTAGGCTCACTTGATTTGCAAAAGCCTGTTATTTTGAATTGGGTGGAGCTATCCAGGTTGGTATCAACAGGAGGCCTTCATAACAGCCTCTCCCAGAAAGGTATATTAATAATGAATATTTCAACAGTGACCACAGTCCATTAATCGGGTGCCTTCTCTCCCTTCCCCTTATCAGCTCGCCTCGACGCAATTGCTCCCATCATCACCAACTTCTTCCTGGCTGCCTACGCCCTCATCAACTTCTCCACCTTCCATGCCTCCCTACAGCACATCCCCAGCTGGAGACCCACCTTCAAGGTTTGTTCCACTATGTTATATTGATCGATTTTTTAATACAATGTGGTGGAGAAACTCTTAGCCCATTTGGGATGGAGCCCAATAAATGGGTAGGGCTTTCAATGTACAAAGATTTCAAATTTTAATTTGTTGCACTGTTTAAATTGATACTTTAATATAAAAAAAATTGGTTTAAGAGTTAAAAGGAGTGAATGCATATTTGCAACTTGCTCTTCTTTCTAGGCAATTATAAAACAGGGTGTTAAGGCTAATGAAATGCTCTTTTCTGATCAACGCATTTTTTCTTTCGCATTTCAAATTTTTGAAATGAAATGCTCTTTTCTGATCAACGCATTTTTTTCTTTTTACCCATTAGTTTTAAGCTTTAGTCATTAGTGTTTTTTCCTGCCCGAAACGCTTTGCGTAATAGTGGCTTTAGGCATTGTATGTACTAGCTCTATCTATAAAGCCAACAAACTTTGTAAAATCTCTTTATGTATGTACCTTTACCTAAATAAAAATTATTATTATTATTATTATTATTATTATTATTATTATTATTATTATTATTATTATTATTATCTGCCCCTTGAATGTTTCCATAGCCACTTTATTTTGCTAACCAGTTAACATTGCCAAACAAATTTATACATATTAATTCTTTTGCAATTAGAATGTTCAAGTATATCAGACATGTAGTGAGATTATTTTAGGTTATAACAGTTTTTTATTAGTGCATGCCTTAATACAGTGGTATACAGTATTAATATATTTGTGCATTGCAGTACTATAACCAGTGGCTGAGTCTGCTTGGAGGAGTGTTGTGTACAGCCATCATGTTCCTCATCCAGTGGTACACAGCACTCATCACCGTCGTCATCATCATCATCCTGTACTTCATTGTTGTCTACAGAAAGCCAGGTGATCATCTTACTTCTAACACTCAGATTCAGATTCAGATTCAGATGTTTATTCAGGTAAGGTATATACATACAAGTGATGTTACATTAATGGATTGATATATAGATAGAGCTAGTACATACAATGCCTAAAGCCACTATTACGCAATGCGTTTCGGGCAAGAAAAACATTAATATCTAGAACTTAATACTAATTGAGCATAAAGAATAAAAAGTGTTGAGAACAAATACAAATAAAGATAAAAAAAGGGGGAACATGACTGAAAAAACCAGCGTTGAATGTAATGAAACGCCATTTTCTGGGTGAGACCCGGAGGCTCCCCGGAGCTTTACCGGCTGATATGCTAATGTCAGACTTTGGCATCAGTCATGTGTATGGAGTTCTAGGGCCTACCGGGGACCACGAGCCAGAACCTGGCCCCCTCAGAGAGGCAAGGGGAGCAATGGCCTATAGAAACCCCCGTGTGGTTGGAAGCATTCTATGTCTGCCATCGACCGGGTCAAGCATCCAGAAAGGTAAGCATTCCAAAACAAACCCCTATTCTGGTGAAAATTGCTACCTAAGCCGAACTAGTGAATAGAACTCTTCAACAGAAAACACGGAAACTAGTATGACGTCATACGTCACCGCGCCGCTGTCTGCGCAGCTCCCCCCTCCCCGGGAGGGGGAAGGGGGAGCCCCAGACCTCCCACGCCGGCTATCCACCCATCAGTTCTGAGGCTGGATGTCAAAACACGCGAAAAACGCCGACCGGAGGGAGGGAGGGTTGCCGGGGAGCCTCCGGGTCTCACCCAGAAAATGGCGTTTCATTACATTCAACGCTGGTTTTCTGGGGGGAGCCCCGTCGGCTCCCCGGAGCTAACTACCCACAGAGGAAGGTCAAAGGGACAAAACCGGGAGGCGGACACCACGCACCCCCCAAGGAGGCGAGACAACCGGCAGCAAACGCCAACCCAAGGCGCCACAGCCCCGAAAATCCCGGGAACAACACGAGAACCACGAGCAGCAAGGCCCCTGCACGAACACCAAAAATCCATGCCCGAAAGACTGCAAGGCCACGTCGCCCAGACGGCAGCGAGAGCAGCGAAGCCACGAACGCCACAGGCATGAGGGAAGAACACAGGCAGCTTAGCCACAAGAACACGGCTGACCACCCGGGACACCATCACCCGCGAACCGGGAAGAACAGAACCGGATCAACGCAAAACGCGCTCCGGACCCAAACGCCGTGGCACGCAAACAACAGCCGAAGAACTGATGGGTGGATAGCCGGCGTGGGAGGTCTGGGGCTCCCCCTTCCCCCTCCCGGGGAGGGGGGAGCTGCGCAGACAGCGGCGCGGTGACGTATGACGTCATACTAGTTTCCGTGTTTTCTGTTGAAGAGTTCTATTCACTAGTTCGGCTTAGGTAGCAATTTTCACCAGAATAGGGGTTTGTTTTGGAATGCTTACCTTTCTGGATGCTTGACCCGGTCGATGGCAGACATAGAATGCTTCCAACCACACGGGGGTTTCTATAGGCCATTGCTCCCCTTGCCTCTCTGAGGGGGCCAGGTTCTGGCTCGTGGTCCCCGGTAGGCCCTAGAACTCCATACACATGACTGATGCCAAAGTCTGACATTAGCATATCAGCCGGTAAAGCTCCGGGGAGCCGACGGGGCTCCCCCCAGAAAGCAGCACAAATACAATAGGTTGAACAGTGTTGATTAAAAAAAAAAGAAAATAACAGACATGGGTTGACAATAGAGGAGTGAGGTAGATTACAGGGAATTTATTAGGTAGTGTTTAGTTTTTATCTTAAACTGGTTGAGAGAGGTACAGTCTTTAACATGGTTGGGAAGGTCATTCCACATTCTGGGCCCCTTGATTTGCAGAGCATTTCTAGTTAGATTAAGACGTACTCTAGGAATATCAAAACTGTATTTATTTCTGGTGTGGTGCTCATGGGTTCTGTTACAACCTTCTATGAAGCTTTTAAGATCAGGATTGGCATTATAGTTTAGCGTTTTATATATGTATAATACACATGAGAGAATGTGCAGTGACTTAATATCTAACATATTCAGAGATTTGAGTAGGGGTACCGAGTGATGTCTGGGGCCAGAGTTGGATATTGTTCTAATAGCAGCTTTGTGTTGGGTAATTAGAGGACGTAAGTGATTTTGGGTAGTAGAACCCCAAGCACAAATACCATAGTTGAGATAAGGATAGATAAGGGAGTAATAGAGAGTCACCAGGGCAGGGCGTGGTACATAATATCTGATCTTAGAAAGAATGCCCACAGTTTTTGAAACTTTTTTTGATATATTTAGAATGTGTCCCTGGAAATTCAGCTTGTGGTCAATGAGAATGCCAAGGAATTTGCCATCTAATTTGTTACAAATTTGGGTATTGTTTATTTTGAGATTTATATGACTAGAGGATTTATTGCCAAACAGAATATAGAAAGTTTTGTCAATGTTAAGGGTGAGTTTGTTGGCAGTTAGCCAAAGATGGACTTTATTTAGCTCAGTATTTACTGTGGCATTTAGAGCAAGAGGGTCAGGACTGGAGTAAATGAAGGTTGTGTCGTCAGCAAATAGAATTGGTTTGAGGTGTTGGGAGGCATTTGGAAGGTCATTAATGTAGATGAGAAAGAGGAGAGGGCCAAGTATGCTGCCCTGAGGAACACCAATGTTGATGGGTAGGGTGGGAGAAATTGTATTATTCACAGAAACATATTGGAGCCTGTCAGTAAGGTAGGACTCGAGGTATTGTAGGGAGTGTCCTCTGACTCCATAATGATGTAATTTAAGAAGAAGGTTATGGTGGTTGACAGTATCAAAAGCTTTACGCAGGTCCACAAATAACCCAACAGGGAACTCCTTTTTATCAAGAGCTGTATGAATCGAGTTAAGCATACTAATAAGTGCATCGTTAGTGCTTTTTTTGGGTCTGAAGCCATATTGGCAAGGGCTAAGTATATTGAGTTTGGCTAGATATGAGTAAAGCTGCTTATATATAAGTTTTTCAAAAAATTTTGACAAGTTTGGCAGGATTGATATAGGTCTGTAGTTGTTAACATCTGTGGGGTCACCACATTTGTGGACAGGCGTTACTCTCGCTTTTTTTAGAATATCTGGAAAGGTTTGGAGTTCAAGTGACTTGTTGAAGAGCAAAGCAATAGCAGGGGCTAAAGATCTGGAGGCTTTTTTGTAAATTAAAGTTGGTATCTCCTCAAGGGCACCAGACTTGGTTTTAAGGGAAAGGATTATCTCATTGACGTCAGTGGAGTTAATAGGCTTTAGGTACAGAGACTGTGGATAGTTACCTGTAAGATAGTCCTTAATGTCAGTACTGGAAGATGGAATATCATTTGCAAGGGATGAACCAATGGAAGAGAAGAACCTATTGAACTCAATAGCAGAATCAGAGGCTGAAAGCTGACCATCGTTATTAGACAGGAGAGTCGGTTTGTTATTTAAACACTTTCACTTTGTGAGTCGGTTTGTTATTTAAACACTTTCTTCTTTCTTCCTCCTTTACTTTTCTGTTAATTAGGGGCATTGTGATATCTAAGTTCTGACTTGCTCATGAATTTTGATGTCTATTACTGTATTTCTCTTGTCTGTTAAAACAAAGAAAACAAAGAGCTATCCCAAATGGTAATGAATCTGACAGGAGAAATGTGACGAGTTGGGTAGTGCATGGTTCCATCTTAGGGCGATTCCTTTTGTCATTTACATCAATGATAGATGAGAATATTACAAACCACATCACCAAATTATCAGATGACACTTATGATCTATGATAAAGTAGGATGCAATAACAGTACTGAGGCCTTACAAAGAGATCTACATGAACTTCACAAATGGTCAGAAAATGGTAAATGCTTTTCCGTATTGTACAAAACTTTAAATGTAGGGCATAACAATGAACATTGCAACTATCATATCAGCAAATCCTATAAGTAAATATAATATACACAAGTGTTGTAGAGAACTATTTTGTGTTACACTGCATTGAATGACCCATAGCTTAGTGAAAACAATGCAGGCTTGTACAATTTTGCAACAATTTAGGTAATAACATGAAAATAAATTGTTTAACAAATTTATAATAAACACAATTTGTATCAAAGTAAAAATAATGTCAAATATGACGGCAGTTTAAGTGGAGAAAATTTAGAGAAATCCCAAGTTGAAGGTTAAGTACAGTATATTGATGATGATTTGCCTGCAAGAGTTGAATCAAACGTTAGATTTGATAAAGTCCTTGGTGACCTGAAATCCTCTTCGGTAAAGTCAATAAGCTTTGTCTCTCTCTATATCATTGCCATCATTTTGCACTGTGATCAACTAATCGGCAGTAAATGTGCTAATACTGAATTTATAAATGATTTGTATTGTGCATGTATGGCAGTATAATAAAAAAGGAAGACTGTTAATACATGGGCATATGTAATTACCTGATTATCATAATAATGAAATACTGTCTATCTTCCAGATGTAAACTGGGGATCATCAACACAAGCTCAGATATACACCCTGGCATTGAGCTCAGTCATATCTCTAAATCAGATAGGAGATCATATCAAGACGTACCGTCCCCAGATCCTGGTGTTGAGTGGGTCACCCTCCTCCAGGCCGCCTCTTATCCACTTTGCACACTCCATCACGAAGAACATGTCCCTTCTGGTCACAGGTCACTGCTTCAAAGTAAGTTATTTGCACTCATAATAATAACGATCTATGGTAAAGTGGGAAGTGAAAATGGCATTGAGGCTTGTCCCTGTTAAGGTGACTAGGGATGGTGACCTTTGGGTAAATTTAGGGAAACAAGCTAGGTGGACAGGGAGAAGGGCAACAGTTGTTCTCTCATGATTGTTCTCTCTCTGTGTTCTCTCTGTGACAGCACATTTCCGACACTGGCAGTTAATTTTAGTATCACCTAGAGTAACATTCTAGGTCCACTCTTCTTTCTCAGATATATCACTAACTGATTAAATGTCATGCAACACCTTTTGTCAGTATTATATGCTGCTGAATTGGACTTCAGCAGAAGCCAGATTCAGCAGAATGAAACCCCTGATTGGGCTTCAGCAAAAGCTTCAGAACCCCTAGTAGATTCAGTTGAATCCCAGGTGGCATTGCTTTTACCATGTCGTGGTGCAATGGTCTGGGGTGTGTGCTTGGGTTCAAATGTGTGGATTCGAATCCTCCGCATGGCTCTTGCTGATTTTGTCATTGATATATCATATTAATGGGATCTCATTGTACAATAATAATAATAATGATAAATTTTATTTAAAAAATAAAAAAATAAAACCCTCACAAAGAATCGTTTTTACAACCAAGTACCCATTTTACTGTTGAGCTAAACAGAGGCTACAGTTAAGGATTTGTGCCCAGTAAATCCTCCCAGCCAGGATACGAACCCATGACAAAGCGCTCGCGGAACGCCAGGCGAGTGTCTAACCACTACACCACGGAGACTGGATTTATCAACCAAACGCATGTTGATATTATAGTCAAGAACACAATCTGGCTTATATACTGGTTCTTGTGTTGCTGGGTAACTGAGGCCTCCCACGCGTTGGTGGCGAGAGCAGGATTTTTTTACAAAATGGCTGCTGTTTACTATAGTCCCTGGGCAGCATATGGGGGTCACCCCTACCCCGCTGGCTATTCAAATCTTGCGTGGTGCTCCATCACGTCATATGATGTGTTGCGCAGTTTAAGGGATAACAATAAATTAACCACTGTATGTCCATTTAATAAAGCAACTAATATGCAAAGGGAAAATCCAGACCCCCGAATAGTGAAATTTTGAAAAATCTAGACCATATCTGCTCACTGGAGTTTCCTCCAATTTTGGATTAAAAAATATATCTAAATTCCATGGAAGATGTAGTGAAATCCAAATCGTCAGTTCATTATGTAAAATAATTATCAACTTGTATTTTTTATTCTTTTTCTAATCTTTTTCATATTTTAAATTTACCAAACTTGCCACAAAATAAACAGACAGCCATTATAGGATCTGTTGTGGCACAGCTTCTCCATCATCAGACCAATGCTTTGTGTGAAGTAGGTGTGGGAATGTACCAGTGTTTTCCTGGGGTGCTCTAATTACCTAAGTGTAGTTGCATGATGAGAGAGATGCTCATGGTGTCCCTCTTCTCAGAACATGTATTCTTTGTCATATCAGTTTTGGCATCCACCTCACTTCATTAGGAAGCAAGGAAATTATTGAAATGTTAAAAAAAGGATCTACATGAACCCCATAAATGGTCAGGTTACTGGCAAATGCTTTCTAATACTGTATTGAAAATCCAGAACCTTGCATATAGGGCATAGCAATGCCCAAAACAAGACTGATCTCATAGAGATTTTTAAGATACTGAACAGGTTTGAGGATACTGATTCAGACCACTCTTTATAAGGTCAAATGTAATGCAAACAAGAGGTAACAGCTTCAAACTCAGCAAGCCACAATGCAGGGCAGAAAATTGGAGATACTTTTCCCACCAATAAAGATATAAACCCATGGAATCACCTACCCACTGAAGCCATGAATGCCATGACATTACAGTACTTCATTTCAAAATCCAGCTGGAAGAAAATCCTCGGGAACAATGGGGAACCTTTGACAGGTTGCTGGCTTTCTGTCCCCAACAAGGCCATTAGAGAGATGGTGGCCTTCTGGTACAATTCAAGTAACATATGTTATCACAGTGAGGGAACAATTTGACTCATCTTAGTATTGAGTGTTATTCTATTTTTTTATTAATTACTGGAAATTATAAGTTTTGTTATGGTATTTACCTGAGGGCCACCATCTTCTTAGTGTCCTCGATAAGGACTGTAAATAGTGAGATATTCCCCCAAATTATAAGTACAATAATTAGAAAATGTACACTTTACTTTATGATCACAGGAACAGCAGCCACAGCGGTTACGAGAGAGACTAATAGCAGACGCCACTAACTGGTTGTGTCGACACAAGGTGAAGGCCTTCTACTCCATTGCTGACGGCCCCTCTATGGATTTGGCTGCCAGGATGCTAATGTGTAATGTGGGACTGGGTAAATTACGGCCCAATTTAGTCCTCATGGGTTACAAGTCCACCTGGCAGACATGCCCAGCTGAGGAACTACAGAGTTATTTCAAAACCATCCAGTAAGTGTTTGAATCAAGTTTTGTACAGTACTGTATTTATAAAAAAAATTTATTGATAAATTTTGATGTATTCTGCAGATATTGTGTTTGCACAAGTCTGTTTTAACATTTATGTACAGCATCTGTAGAGTCTTCACTTTCATAAAGTACTTTTGGGGAGAAGGGCCTTAATCACGCTCTCTCTCCCTCCTCATTAAGTGTTTAAAGTAATTTGTTAAGCTATATGAAACAATAAGAAAGCTTGCATCTCTGATAACAACAAACTGATTTCCTTATTATGTATCTTGATAGATCTAACAACCATAAATGACGTGTCCCTACAGCTGTGCTTTTGGCTTGCATCTGGCTGTTGGTATCCTGTGTGTGGAGGGTGGCCTCGACTACTCAAACCTGACAGAAGTGTCACAAGATGAAGATGACCCAACTTTGACTGCTAATGCCTCTGGCAACTCGACCTCCTCCAGCGCTCCCAACACATACAACCCCAATCCCTTAACTTTACCTACATCTGTCTCTACAGGCAGTTTTGGCCACTCCCAAAATGGGGCCGATCTTCGTTCTGGTTCCTGTAAGTAGTGACACTATTAATCAAGTTACTGTAAACTTCTTTGTTTCAAAAGCTTTCAGAATTAAGGCATGTTTGAATAAACTCAACCCAAACTTGGGTAATGATTTGCATTTGAATTTTTGTGAAGAATACTAAAATTAAGAATAAGATTTGTAAATTAACTTATCATAAAGTACACTGCATATACTATCTTCACCCTGCATCATAATTCTCATAAAAACTAGATACCCCTGTTCATAATAGTTTCTAGACTTAGTACTTGATAAGGTCTTCATAAAAGTCTCCACAGATTTGACATACTTTATTTTTATTTATCATTTAAATGGTCAGATGTTCAACATATCTCGGCCCATTAGATGAATATTGTGGTTAGTATGCAGTACTGTATAGTCATCAATAAAAATGTTGAACCATATAAATTTATTATTATTACTGTTATATTATATATACTGTACTATATATAGTGGTGCCTCGATTAACGAATTTAATCCGTTCCGGCACCGAGCTCGTCACGTGAAACGCTTGTCTTTCGAAACAAATTTCCCCATTTAAAAAATGGAAATAAATTAATCAGTTTTACCGCTGAAAAACATCAATATGATATTCAATTTTTTAAATAATGGAGCAGCCTACCTGGCACAAACTGAACAAACTTTTATGACATTTTTCCTTTTTTCAAATTTGTTTATTTTTTCTATTTTTTTTTATAGAAAATATAGCAGCCTTCCTGACATTCACTGAACGAACCTTTATGACATTTGTTCTTTTTTAAATTTTTTCGATTTTTTTTTCTAATTTTGGCTAAAAAAAAAAAAATCTTTGCAACATTACAGCAGTCACCCCTTTACATCCCAGCATCATTAGCATTTAAAAAAAAAAAAACAGTTATTTGCATCGTCGGAGGTGTCCGAGAATTTGCGAGAACCAGCGGGAACGCAAGGAAGCACCATGTGCTTTTCTCGTTAATAAAGCAAACGCTCGTCAATCGAGACAAATTTTCGCCTAGTGGCACGCTCATTTTTCGAAATGCTCGTAGATTGAGGCGCTCGACACTCGAGGTTCCACTGTATATATACAGTATATATATATATATATATATATATATATATATATATATATATATATATATATATATATATATATATATATATATATATATATATATATATATATATGTCATATATATATATATATATGTTCCTTATTTTTTGTGGTTTTAGTGATTATTAAAGTTTCAGGTTTTCAATGTAAAGTGTCTCAAGAGACTCTTGGATTATATGGCTATTGCCTGAGGAGAAAGATGTCATTTGGTGTGGTGTTCATAGTTGATCGTTGTTATGTGAAGGCCATAACGGAAATTACCATATATATTTTGCAAATAGTCTCTCGGCCCATAAAACTCGGAGTGATAATGTACAGGATGCGAGACATTTTCCTTTGTTCTTGACTTATCTATTTATATGTTTCTTTATTTTCAAAGGTTTAATTTTCTTCGTCTCACTACACCCTGTGGTATAGTGGATAGGGCACTCACCCCACATGTCTCATGAGCAAAAATGAGTGAGAATACAAAACAAGATAAGGGGTGAATTTGAGGCACAGAGAGATGTAATTATGGTAACACATAGTAATATGATCAATCAACCAAGAGAAATACAGAAGTGCAAATTAGTTTAGATTTTTAGTATATTACATTTATAATGCACCCTATACCCATCCTGTGAGCAGTAGTGGAAAGGTTACAGAGGTACATAATGAATGAGCTCAGAAATGGTCCCCCAAAATTCCTTTAGTTAAGCTAGTTATCTTTATAAGCTAGTTACACAGTTTAATATATTTCAACAGTGAAGTCGAGAACAACCACAGATACAGACTTTAAGTTAAGCAACTTACATTTGCGATGAGCTAGTTTCATAATTTGATTTGCTAATAAGCTAAAGATCTTTATTTAGGTATTTCAAGCAGTGGCTGTGATCCTGGCATTAATGTTTGAATTTGGATCAAAGCCTAAGTTTTATTTCATTGCTTTTAGGTGCTGCTTACAAATTTAAATGATCTAAGGATATAATTATGAGAACTACTTTAAAACGCATGGTGTTTGCATTGTTCACTAGTTTCTAACACATTAAATCATTATATTCCTCCTAGCTCTTGCAAAAATCCTGACATTTGGGTTTCAAAAGTTGACTCGAGGTACAGTCTTATTTTCATTGTCCTTAATTCCTGACTTGCATGAGTCTAGTTCAGACCTGCATGGCAGTGTAGTGGTTTATTTTGTTAGTGATAGTCAACAGAGGGACGCTTACCCTTGTTTATGTAGTTGCAAATAGTATTTAATAGCTGCGCCACCCAGGGGTTATTGACAATGACTTATCTAAACAGAGGGGTAAGAGGAAGCGTGGAGCATATGACATATTTCTTTGATAAACAGTTTGTATCCATTCATGATTTCACTGTTCAGAATGATATAAAATAAATTCCTAAGATGTAAAGTTGAAATATCCCAGACAAATCAGCTGGAAACTTAAATACTGTAATATAATTTAATGTTACCTACTTTTTACATTATTAAAATAGTGAATAAAATTACATACTTTTTATATGTAACTTGCAGTTATATGATTAAAACACTATAAGAGGCAAAGGTTGGGGGGGTAGTCTGCCTGGTGTGGCTGTACGACCTCTTGTATTATTTTGGTGGTCCTCCGCTAGGTCTCCAGTGATTGCACACGTCACAGAGGTTCAGATTTTAGTTTGTTTGTTTGGTAGCTCTGGGATAACTGGTTAGCAGTATCTTGCCTGGGCTTCCTGTAGCAGTCAGCCTAATGGCCCTGAAAACCCCTATTAACCACTGCACTGCGCAAAGCGCCTTTAGGCGCTCGGAGAGTTGTGCTTTTTGTTTTTTAATTTGGCTATATTTTAATGTTTTTTAATGTTTGTGTTTTGAAATGGAAATAGTTGACTTTGGAAACATTTTGACATTAAATTTACCTGAACATTTGTAAAAATAACAAAAATATGTCCTTGACAATGGCACCAAGACGTTTTTGCCGAAAATAGGTGAGCAGTGCAAGGGTTAAGGCTCCTTGGTCCGATGGAGGAGACCTCCGAGTCCCACCTCAATTCGTGTGAGTTTGAAGATTGCTGTGTCCCCCTTGTCTCAGGGTAACATTCACCGTCTTTGCCTCTGCCATGCTGCCTGTTGGGTCGATGACACCTTTGACCTGGAATCTTGCTGTTCCTTACATGCACTCCACTTCACCCAGTCCACTGTTACTGATATTCGGGTGCAGACAGCTTCCACGTTGCATGTGAGGTTTTAGGTTGCTGCAACGAGCTTGGTTGGTTGGTTGCCTTTCCAGAGGCCCCACATCTGCCCCAGTTGGGTTATAGGGACCCAGACTTGGGAATGTTAGTCGCCTCGACTTTGGTTTTGTCCACACCCCCTTGTCCTTTCCCTGCTGTGGTTCAACCTGCTCCCCCCTCCCCCTCCCTCCCTTCCCTGCTCCCAGTTCTCAAACGTCTGAGGGTTTTGTAGTCGGGGCAGGGTTTTCTTAGTGGTAAGACTTGGGTGGCTTCGGGGACTGTCCCTTTTGGATTGGTGACGGAGGCATTCGAGTCTGTTTCTCCTGCTGGGGCTTTTGGGTCTCACCAGCGGGACCCCTTCATGTCTGCTTTTCCGGTGGACTCTGCTTTTCTCCAGAGGCAGAGGATTTGGAGGATGGCTTGGCCTCGGGGTCCAGACATGGAGGATCCCGGGGCTGGGGAGGAGTTGGCTTTGGCCCCGTTTGACCCTGCTTGGGTGTTGGTTTCCTCAGTGTGGGGCGTGTTACCGGAGGAGGGGTTTTTGTATTCCCCCCCCCCCCCCTTCCCTGTACAACTTGATATGGGTTTGACTCCTCCCCGGGATTGGTTCTGGGTTCCCTTGGGTTCCTCTGTTCCCTCCTTCCGGAGGTTTGCGGCTTCCCACTTCCTGCCGAGGGAAGGATGCAGGAAGCCGAAAACTTCTACTACTTACTACGCACTCTGGCTACTTACTCACACTGTATCTTGTGCTAATTATCACTGAACCTTGTGCTACCAACTCACCCAATTTAGTAGTTAAGACATGCAGCTTCACCAGTATAATCTATTCTATCAATTTATACTGTAATGTAGTTACTGTATTATGTTGAATTAAAATTTTGTTTCAATGTACCTTTTATTACATTTATTGGTTAGCTTAAGGACCTGCCCGAAACACTACGTGTGTTAGTGGCTTTGCAAGAATGCAACAAAAGTCACCAATGTACATGTATGTACTGTACTTTCACAGCCAAATGACTTTCTTGTATATAATTACAATAAACCTAAAAATAAAGTTCTTAAAAAATTCTGATTATAGCCAAAAAATAGTGTGTAGGTATTTGTATTTGCTGCTAGTTACATGCCACATTTCATACACATCTTAATATTGATGTTGCTGCTGATAATGCATTTAAGGGAATACCTAATTCAGTATTAAGTTAATACTAATTAACAATTTGATAATTGTTAATGCAAATAAAAATTCATAAGTTAAGCTAATGATGTACAGTATAGTACTCTAGTGATATTGAATGCTAAAAAATGTAGACTACTTTAGATTCTATAGCCAAGTAAGTAGTGTGTTTAAAATACAGTACAGTATTAGAATTGTTAAAAAATAAATGTAGTATTGCAGTTAAAGAATTTTAGAGGTGTGTGTGTGTGTATATATATATATAATATGCACTGTATATATACATACTGTATATATAAATTACCCCCAAAGTGTCAGTTACTGTAAGTATTTTCTTATTTCCCTTTTAAATTAGTTAAAGGCAATGTAACAAAGGACTAATTGTTTATTCTGAAACAGCTGCTGTTGGGGGAAGCATCAATGTTGCATCACTGTCAAATACTGATTATGGAGAAAGCAACCCATCATTCCTAGATGGCATGAAGTTGGGCAAGAAGAAGAAAGACCCCATGTACCGTCTGCCCAATGGTGAGGTTGTTGCACCGCAGGTTGTGGACGCTATGCTTCGCTTCACTCGTAAACAGCCCAAGGGAACCATTGATGTGTGGTGGCTCTATGATGATGGCGGTAAGTTGCTGGTTGGATCCTTATAATAAAATAATATATTACCCCAATCTATTTTAGAATGTCTTCTCTTCTGAACTATTTACAGTAGACTGCTCCCTAAATCAAGATTTTATTGTGACCTTGGACAAGATTCTGTATAGTCTGACAGGGCACCACACTGATAGCAGCCCCAAAGTAACAAATACACTATACTGTATCTACATGGTCATAAGAGGCTAAGAAGCACTGTAAAATAGATCATTCATGTTTCTCCAATTACTGTATTTATAAAAATATTTATTTTTATTCTTGGGTACTGTGGTGTTGCTGTGGATGGCCTTGGTTGAAGGGTTGATATAAAGCCATTGCTTGGTTTTCTGACTTTAATACTTATAACGATACATGACTAGCAGCATCCAAGCATGGCGGGCATCCTGCATGCTCTCTTGGTGCCATTTGCTATGAATATGACAGGTACATCAAGAACCATTTTACTTTGGTTTAGTTCGATAAATCTTGCTCCATGGGAATTAGTTAGGAAGAAACTACGGAGGTCATATCCAGGAATTGGGTGTCGAATACTATAAAATGAAACTGACTGGTCCTTCAATTGCTCCTCGCTCCCATTGTTAAGGCCTGTCTTACCCGAAGTGCTTATCTTGGTAGGCTGAGAAGTGAGCTGCCACGTTTTGACCTGTTGCACTAGCAAGTGTCGACACCTAGTACTGTATAGTAACTGTTGGTGTGATGAGTATTTTGCAAGTTATGTAATTTTAGAACAATTATTAGGTAGCCATGGAGTCCCACTGATCATTTGAAAGTGTTGGAAAATAGTTTGTTTCTGTATTTTTGTTATTATTCTTAGCTGTGTTGGTGGTGTTAAATTAAATTATTGGGATCGTTTCAAAGCTCTCCAAATGTACTTGCTAGAAAGGAGACGAGAGAGATATCAAGTAATGTACACGTGGAAAACACTGGAGGGCCAGGTCCCAAATCTACACAGTAAAATAACAACTTACTGGAGTGAACGATATGGAAGAAAATGCAGAATAGAACCAGTGAAGAGCAGGGGTGCCATAGGCACAATCAGAAAACTGTATAAACATCAGAGGTCCATGGTTGTTCAACATCCTTCCAGCGAGTATAAGAAATATTGCCAGAAAAACCGTGGACATCTTCAAGAGAAAACTAGATAGTTTTCTTCAAGAAGTGCCGGACAACCAGGCTGTGGTGGATATGTGGGCCTGCGGGCCACTTCAAGCAACAGCCTGTTGGACCAAGCTCTCACAAGTCAAGCCTTGCCTCGAGCCGGGTTTGGGGAGTAGAATAACTCCCAGAACCCCATCAAGCAGGTGGATTGAAGTATACTCTCTTATTCATTTCACAATCCTATATTATGCAGCAAGACCATTTGAGAAGTTAACCAGAGTCTGCATAGGAGAGCAGCCAAGGGAGTATTCATAAATGAGTGTTTTATTCCATTCAGTGCCTGAATTTTTCTATACCTTATGAACCAAAAAAAATTCATACTGTATTTCCTCCCTCAGGTTTGACAATGTTGATCCCATACATCCTTACTACCCGATCAGCCTGGTCCTCCTGCAAATTGAGGGTCTTCTGCCTTGCTAACAAAAAAGTAAATAATTCTCATTTAAGATTTATATGATAGTTTTTATGTGAAAATACTGTATTTGAAAAGCAATCAAACACTGCAAGTTTTGATTCTAATGTTTCATTTAGTCTGCATTATTGATGATCTCTAATAATAAAGCATTTGTATGATTTATACATTCCTCTAACTTACACACTACTGTACTTCATTCATTATTATTACCTTGTTTCCAACTTTCATGGGTTTGGGAGACATTAGTAAAAATAAAATGAGAGGGATGAGAGAGTAGCAGTGAAAATGTTGCTAATTACATCCATTCATTAGTAATATTAAACTCCTAATGCTATTTTGGAAAATTAATAAATCATGAACAGCTAGGTGTTCAGTGCTTCTCAGGAGTTGTCTAACACAGTACAAACAAAGCATATAATCTCACTTCACAAACAGCTACTACTTAATTTTACTACATAGTCTCCTCAGCATGGTGCATTCTATTGATAATTTTTTTTTTTTTACCACATCTCTAATATTATTCACATTTAATTCCTACTTTCTTGTACTTTACTCTTATTTACCATGTTTGCCAGTCTTATTTTTGGTCTTCCTTTCTTCCTACTCTGTGATTATCTCAAACATGTACATACTTCACTAGTCTGCCATCATCCATTTGACAATTGTTAACTCCTCTATCCTGTGTAGGATGATCTGGCCTCTGAGCACCGAAGTATGATTGAGCTACTGTGCAAATTCCGAATTGACTTCTCTGATGTGGTAATGGTGCCTGACATAACACGACGTCCCAGAGAGGAATCAGTGAGAGATTTCAACAAACTTATCAGCAGCTTCAAGGTGCCACCAGAGGAGGAGGATGGAGGTACTGTACTGTATATTGAATGATTTTTTTTATCCCACTTGGCTGCTTTAAGGCAAGATCCTATTAACCATTGGTTAGGATCAGTGCAGCCTAGCATTCTGTGATGGCATAGCTTTAAACATTGCAAACTATGTAAGAAAATCTACTGGCTAAATTAAGAGAGTAGCTAGATACTCAGAAAGTAATCACTAGAGTGGAGTAATGAGTAAGGGGGTGTTAATCCTGAAGATGAAACTGGTCAGTCATAAAACCTTAAGGGTGTATATGGTAGTTTAATTAGTAAGTACTGTAGTTTCAATTACAGTATCTGGCTGTAACTTGTATCACTTAGCATTAAGAATTACCCCAAAAATATACTAAATAATTAACACACATTAATTTACTTGAGGGCCACTATAGCTCTAGTGGTCTTGATGAGGACAGAAAGAAAGCAGCTTGTCAAAGGTCCCCGATTTGTCCTGAAGATTGCATTGGGCTGGATTTTGAAATTCAGCAGTATTTTGGCATTTACGGCATTGGTGGGTAGGCAGTTCCATGGGTTTATTACCCAATGGGTGAAGAAACATCTGTTTTTACACTGCATTGTGGCTTATTGACCTTGAAACCATTGCTTCTTAAGAAGTACTGTACTTGAAAAGCTTTATATAAAATACAACTACATACATACAGTACTATGAAATCACTTTATAATCAAATATTTTAATAATAATAATTATTAGTACTGTATTATTATTCCTCTCTAAACTAAGCTCTAAAATTCCTCTCTAAACTCCTGAAGCATCTAAAATAATAATAATAATAATAATTTATTATTATTATTATTATTATTATTATTATTATTATTATTATTATTATTATAGATGCTTCAGGAGTTTAGAAACATGAGAGAGAAGGAACATATAATACATATAATTCTTTTGAGATTTTAATTTCTAGACAAGCTTTGTGATACTTTTTCCTCATTTTTATCTTATTCATTTCATAGTACTGACTGCATTGGTGCCACCAACCCGGGGAGCAGCATGTATCCATAGGGGCCCATTTTGGTAGTGTGATAGAAATATTTAAGTGCAAGTAAAAAATTTGAATTTTCTGATGAATCAATTCTTTGCATTTACTGGACTTGTATTTGATGCTAAAAAAAAAAGCAAATTTGATACTGTTTTGAAACATGCATAAAAGTGTATTCTGTCATTGGCACTAATAAAAACATTTGCAATAATTAATAATTATTAATAATTATTAATGTTTTTATTATTGCAAACATAAAAACATAATACTGTCTAAGCTCACTTATCCAGACTATATATTAAGGACCCCTCACCAGATAAGCCACACATCCGAATAAGCAGAATGATCTGTAGGTCTTGAAATGTGTAGTTCTTGAAAATTTACATAACCTACTCTTCGGTTATCCGGTTTTCTGTCTTGATATGGCGAAGTTTTGCCAAAAAATTATCCAGAAACAACTTTGGCCAGATAACCCAAGTATTCTGTTCAGCCGGCTTTAGTTAACTGAGATCATACAGTAATGGATTGGGTATAAAATCCTCCACAAAAACAAAATTTTGTATGCAATGAATTTCAAGCTGCAGCAAAAGTGTTCAGTACGATGTCGTTCCAAGCAAGAATTCGGTTTACCATGAACAGATAATTGGTATATTAATGGGTAACACAACACTCTTCTTCATTCTAAAGGACTTACAGTTTATGTTGACATTTTCCTCCTCAGTCAAAGAATCTGAGGGGATCACGGAGTCAGAGTTAGTAGCTCTGAAGGACAAGACCAACCGCCACATCCGTCTGAGGGAGCTGCTGCTGGAACACTCAAGAGACGCCACCTTCATTGTTATGTGAGTTCGAAAAGTGTTTTTGTTCATAGTAACATATTGTAGTTCATTCTTGTTTGTTTAGGGAAAGAGAGGAAGATAGTGGAGAGAGTGAAGTGAGAAGGATGAGACAAAATTGACAACCCAATTGTTGTTACAGTTTCTAGTGGCACTTAGATGAGGATAAGAAGCCAGTGGCTTGTAAGAGGCCACCACATTATTCCTAAACATTGATGCCAGTTGGATTTTAGACTAGTACTGTCATGGCATTTATGGCTTTAGTGGGTAGGCAGTTCCATGTGGTTTATTACCCTGTGGGTGAAATGCATCTCCTGTTGTCTGTTGTACATTGTGGCTCATTAAGCTTGAAGCATTTTGCTCCTTGTGAGACTTACATTGGATTTTTCAGTGAAGTGATTTGGATTAATTTCTTCCAATTCGTTCAATACCGGTATTTTATAGGTCCTGATGAGATGAGCTATGTCATTTCTGGCTTGCAGTCTTGTTAACCATTGGAGTGACACAAGGCAGCATCCTAGGACCTCTCCCATTTGTTATACCTGATTTACATGGTATAAGGTAAATCGGGTATACCTCATTTACTGCATTATATACTGTACATCAATGACTTGCCAAATGTCTTTAATGTTCTTAAACCTATACTATTTGCTGACGATACTACCTTATTTGCTCAAACTCTAACCCATATACTCTAAATAATATTGTAAATTAGAAATTTTGTAAATTCCATTTTTGGAATTAGTTTTGTTTTTGCTAAAAAAAATATTCATAGCTATTGTGAATCATGACAAACAAACATTAGAATGATGAAGTGAGAGAACACATGAATAGGAAGAGTGCTGGTGTGGAGAAGAGTGCTGTGCAAAGTTAGCAGTGTCCTTGAACACGTACAAGATGCCCATTAAGGCAGTGAAACATGGTGTAACAGATACAGATATAAAAATGTGGAGAGTTAAATATGACTGTTGAACTAATAGATAAGGCTGTCAACTCCAAATATGAGTGAGACACTAATGTGTACATGTGGTTGACAGGACCCTGCCCATGCCTGCTGTGGGGACGGTGTCGGCGCCGCTCTACATGGCTTGGCTGGAAACCCTCACACGCCAGATGCCGCCCTTCCTCCTCCTCCGTGGCAATCAGTCCTCAGTTCTTACATTCTACTCGTGAACCCTCTTCCCCACACTTGGTGCTTTAATAAATATGGTTTCAAGGATGGTGTGCTATTTGTTTAGCATTCTTTCCGCTCATTGCTTATACTTTGTCAAATTAAAATACCATGAAAATATGTTCCCGATGCGCACTTTTTTTCAGAGCTCTATCTCTTATTTAGATTTATACAGTATATATTTTACAGCGTGCTCAAAATGTAACCTTTAAAAGCTAGTATTAAAAATACCTATGTATTTCATCCTTGTTCTAATTAATCTTGAAATAGCATGAATTTCTTAAAATGACTAGGTATGCAAATAGACTATTAAACTAACAAAACTAATGATACTGAATATACTAAGTACAGTATTATGAGGTGGATAAGTCTTCAATACTTATTCCGAATGGAATCCTTCCGGAAATGTTTCAGGTGAATATTTTCAAACGAAAATGTGGATATGTTCAGCAATGGACATGATTGAGAGAATTCTGTTTTCAGCCACTCCTCAGATTCTCCAGAGGAATAGGGGTAAGAAAGCTAGAGATGTAGTTTAGTGATCCTAGTAATGGCAAAGTAGTCAGTAGAGAATTCTAAATAGGGGAAAAGTGATCTTGCTGTTAATTTTAATGTATTAGCAATTGTTAATCAAATGCCTATAACAGTGTGTGTAGAGTGCATGGGTGTGGCTGGTTAAATCGACACTACTATAAAGAAGTACCAGGTAAAGAATAGCCAAAGAGTTGGTAAAGTGCAAAGGGTTGAGACAAACTATGGAAGACAATACTGTATGTTGGTTGTTATGGTCATTAATGATATGTGTGCTCCTCTTGCCTCTTGTAGACATTGGGGGTGGCATCAAGGTTATGGAATAATAAAAACTCTAACGATCTCGTGCCATGCTGGAGATTTGAACTCCTAAAGATGTCCACAAAATTTTTATATTGAGCAAGTCTTATTTTTTTAAGTTACTGTGATAGTAAGATAAGTAGTGTTGGGTTGACATGTGTACTACAATTTTATGATAAACACTGTATATTTGTTCTGATAATTATACATTTAGTCTAATGTATAGTTCTGAATGGATGACTAATTTTTGTCTGAATTCATGAAACTAATAATTGTACATATGTTTGATGACTGTAGATATTGCCCGACAACTGTACACTTTATCTAGTAAATGTGCATTATACAGGAGAATGTACATTTTCTCTGATAACTATACATTATACCCAATAAATGAACAATTTGTCTGATTATTTTATATTTTGTTTTATAATTAAACCTTTGCCCAACAACTCTTATAACATGAGTACAAAACAGTGTCCTCTGTGTGGCATCTGTAGTGTGTGGAAATGTCTGCAACAGTATTTTTCCATTAAATTTATATGAGCCTATATATGCAATTATATTTATTTATAGCAGGTTAATATTCACAGATAATAATACTATACTGTAATTTATAAAATACATGCAAGGACATGACTTTCCTAAATTTGCCTGTATATTAAATCCCACTAGTGGGGTTGATGAAGACAAGAAGCCGATGGCTTGTTAAAGGTTTTCCCATTTGTCCGAATGATTTTATCTAGCTGGATTTTGAATTGCAACAATGTTGTGGCCTTGACAGTTTTGGCGGGTAGACAGTTCCATGTGTTTATAATACTAAACGTAAAATGAAAAAAAATGTTTATTCAGGTACATACACACAAGATGAGTTACAAACAGAATGATGTTGGATTTCTAGATAGAGCTAGTACATACTATGCCTGAAGCCACTAATATCTCTAGCTCTCTCTCCATATCATATATCATACCTCATATCTCATATCATATCTCATATCATACCATATATCATATCATATCTCATATCGTATCATATATCGTATCATCATCTCATATCATATCTCATATAACATCATATCATATATCATATCATATCTCATATCTCATATTGTATCATCTCATATATCATATCATAGCATATCTCATATCATATCATCTCATATCATATCTCATATATTATATCGTATCATATCTCATATCATATCTCATATATCTCATATCGTATCATATCTCATATTGTATCATATCTCATATCATATCTCATATCTCATATTGTATCATATCTCATATCATATCTCATATCTCATATTGTATCATATCTCATCTCATATCATATCTCATATCACATCATATCTCATATCGTATCATATCTCATATCATATCATATCATATCTCATATTGTATCATATTTCATATATCATATCTCATATCATATCTCATCTCATATCATATCTCATATCATATCATATCTCATATCGTATCATATCTCATATCATATATATCTCATATCATAGCATATCTCATCATATCATATCTCATATATCGTATCATATATCATATCTTATATCGTATCATATCTCATATCATATCATATTTCATATAGCATATCTCATATCATATCTCATATCATATCTCATATCATATCTCATATCATATCTCAAATCATAGCATATCATATCTCATATCTCATGATATGATATGATATATCTTGTATATATCATATCTCATATATCATATCTCATATCATATCATATCTCATATCATATCTCATATCATATCATATCTCATATCATATCATATCTCATATCATATCATATCTCATATCATATCTCATATCATATATATGAGGACAGGAAGCTCGTGATCTCCCCCCCCCCTCCCCAATTTTACCAAGTACAGTTTGGCCAGTTACGACTTTGGTGGGGTAGAGGTTTCCATGGGGTAATAACCCTGTTGGTGAAAAAGCATCTCCTGTTCTCAGTCCAGATCAACATCCTCTAACTTGTACAGTATTTTAAAAATTTCGATGAGATCCGCCCTATAATGCCTGGTTTGCAGTGTTGTTAGTCCTGTGGCCTTCAAGTGTTCCAGATACGAGAGATGACTGAAAATGAGGTCTCCATGCTTTGATACAGTAATCCAAATGAGAGATTTGTACAGTTCAACTTCTTTTCCTTGAAGTCAAAAGTTCGCTTGATTATTCCAAGAGTTTGGTTAGCTTTTCTGACTGCAGCACCCACCTGTTGTGCCACTTTTAAATGAATGGTGGATTTAACTTCAGGTACTATTCTTCATATGGTAGAACATGTCTCTCAAGACACGTGCTACTGTTAAGTTGAATCTCTGATGATGCTAAATATATATAAACAGCATCCATGGGCAGCCACTATGTCGAGCGATGATATGTTCATTGTGGAACAAACTACTACTGGCTGATCAAGGTCTACTGCCCTTCACTACAGTTGCTGTGGAAGTGGGAGATGTTAGGAACAACTCCCTACTAAGCTTGACCCTTTTTTCGCAATTTTAAATTGTTTAATGACTATAGCAGTCATTAAATAGATACCATCAGGATGCTACTCCTTCGTGACTAGATGTGTGTAATGTAGAAAAATTAGAGATTCCAAGCCTCGTCAATAGAAGGGACGCCCTGGACAGTTTGTCTGTGGAGGCATACTAATATTCCCTAACTACCTTTCATGCCTCCTCAGCATATTAAACAGTGCATTCATTTTTTGCCAGTTAACATGCAACAGGATCCTACATACTGTATCTGAAAACTGCATCCATTAACGCTTATATAATTGTCACAACAATATCGAAATACGCTTAAAATTGTAGTGGTAGAATTAGATTTCCTCCTGACAACAACTTAAAAATATGGATATATAGAATGCACAAACAAATTTGTAGTGTAGTGGGACAATACTATTTCAGTTATGTTTACAAACTCTTAATGTAATACTCCTAGGAGGCATATTTTCACCATATTTGTATAGTGCCTTTACTGATAATTATATGTAATATGCAGTAGGAAATGGCATGGTTGCTTCCTATGAACATCTTGCATCTTGAGCGTGAGAGAACAGCCCATGGAGGGCGTCTTTAAGAAACTCCCTTAGGATAGTTATGTCCTTGTAGTACTGCTTCCTGTGTCCTATCTTTTACAGAAGATGGCAGAGTTCTGAATTTGAACATAAAGCACATGCCACAATGCTGACTCTGAACATCCATACATGCAGAAGGGTACTGGCTTTGAACATTCTCTCATGGGCTGTCAACCCCTTTCCCCACATGCAACAGAAGGCTGTCTATAAACTCCTATCCCCACCCCTCACATGACAGAATGCTGACTTTGAACTGCTGCCACACGAAATAGAATGCTGACTATGACCTACCCTCACATGCAACAGAGTGCCGACCATGAACTCCCCCCACTACATGCAACAGTGTAGACTATGAGTTCAAACCCCCCTCGTCCCCACATACGACTGCTGACTATGAATTCCCCCTTCCCCCACAGGCAACATAATACTATGAATTCCCTCTTCCCCTCCACTTTCCCCTACTCTCCATGGAACAGAGTGCTGACTTTTAACACTCCCTCAAGCAGCAGTACTGACGTGGACAAGTCTCCAGCTCTGCTTATCCTGCTGGCGTGTTGTTTCAATATTGACTGCAAACTGCAAACTTCAAATTGTATTTACTGAGAATTATATCTATAACTGAAGTAGCGACAGGCTTATGTGACGAGGTCTTTGATAGTATTAATTCACGTTGTCGGTGAAAGGAAGCCTGTGTATATACATATATATACTTCATGCTTGTAACAGTCTTTCTTGTAGACCTATGCCATATTCATTGATTCTGTCATATTCATAATCATAACTGCACTAGAATCAACAATTCTAGTTAACATACAACTGAATTGATAGTATGCTAGAATCAGCTATTCTAGGATGAATCTTCTCTGTTTATCTTATGTTTATCTTCATTTGAGAATGAAATGGCAAAATTAATTCTCCAAAGTTTATTAAACAATTTTTTTAAGTCCTGACACTAAGAGATGCGTTTCGTTGGGACTGACAGTCCCCAAGTGGGCATGTGAAGACAGAGACAATATGAAGACAAGTGTATATGTTCTATATAGTATTAATGTATACACTGAGATGAGAGTAGATTTTTAATAGTACATGGTATATAGAAACACTTAAGAACAAATTTTAAAAGCAAGAGATTTGTTATAGTTCCTATACAGGGAAAAGCGTCATCTGCTATTAAATTCTCTCATCTTGGCGATTCTCTACGCTAGTATTATTATACTGTATTCTTTGTATTTGAATACAAAGAATACTGTATATACTGTATCTTAGTGTTTCTCTACACTGTTGTCAGCCCTTTGTACCCTTCCCTGCCATATAGTATTAGTATTTGATCATAGTTTCATATTGTTTTGTTAGGATCTTGCAATCTGAATTCTGTATATGGCTTTCCAAAACTTAGACGAATTATCAAATTTTGTAGTCAGGATCACAGGGAATATTGAACAGGTTGTGCTCACGTGTCGCATATCAACCTCTTCGAGATTTCATCTGTTATTCTCAGGCCTTTGAATCCAGTATGATCTGATTCACTGTTGAACTCTGGCTGTGATGCCGGCAGGGGCTCACTGTGACGTGTCCCTCATAAGCGTACTGCGACTGGCCTTCCCTATCAATGTGGCCGGTCTGCTCATGGCAACATGACTGCCAGACCAGACATTGATTTTGTGTACGTCATCCCGGCCTCAGGTCCAAGGACTTGCACTCGTAGGTTCAGCGATGGCCTCGTTTCTTGCAGGTTGGCGTTCAATCTCCGATGGTCCAAATGTTTGGCACCATTCTCTCACTCTGTCCTCATATATTCCAGTTCCTTGTTCCTATGCCCTAACAAGTGCTGTATAACCATACTAGCTTAGCGTTTTCACTGATAATTATTTTTTCCGGCTAATGGTTTGGTTGGTGTTGAGCTTAAGGCCCATCAACCATGGTGGTATGATTATTAAGGGCACCACAGTAGCTACTCCAGTCCTGAACAGTGCTTAAGACAAAAATAATATCTCAGTTTACACATACACGCCGACCGTGGGGTACGCCTCGCGGTGTACATAGACTACACGGCTATGCCAAAAAGTATTGCATACACTGGGTGCTTATATTTCTTTTCTGACAAATGGTTCCATCAGGTTCATACCTATTATCTAGCTGCCGGTGAACATTAATTTGAAGGAAGTTTATACATTAATCGTTGTAAACTAAAGTATCAAAGATACTTTAATTTGATTGCATAGTCAAGTTGGGTTCCATCATATTGTCTCATTTCAATAACAGTTCATCCCCGTCTCTGGTTGCGTCGATTTAGAATTTTTGTTTTATCAGA